GATCTTCTTTTAGGGTTATTTTGTTTGGGTTTTGTCCAAATATCATGGTCCTTGGGAGTTGGACGTCCCAAATGGATTAACACTTCAAATCTAGGGTCTTGATGGGTTTTCATGGCATAAAGGTGCCAACTTTATGGCCATGGAAGTCCCATGCAACCTTTAGACCATCATTTTGGCCTTTTGGAGCTTCTAATGGCCATGAATGTGGAGAAAGCTGGAACTTTACGTGATCTTTTTTCCCTAGAGTCCAGATCTATAACCTTATGGTCTATCTTGTAGTTTTGGTGGTTTTTGGATTAAGACTTTGGCCTTTTTGGGTTAGGGTTTGAGCTTAATCTCTTTAAGAAAGGTATTAATGGGTAAAGTTGGAAACTTTACCCTTTTGGAGGCATTTCTAGTCTAGATCTGGAGTATAGATTGTATATCTGAAGAATAATGGCTTAATGCATTAAGAAGGGTTAAAAGACTGAAGAACTCGACGAGTTGTATTGAGAAGTCCCGATTCTGTTGAAAAGGAAGAACTCGGAGAGTTGGAGGAAAACTCGACGAGTTGGATCGCGATATCATGATTCTATGATTCATGGAAACTCGGCGAGTTGAAGGGCAACTCGACGAGTTGAGTCAACTTGGAGCGTTGACTTTGAATTTGACTTTGACCAATGTTGACCCTTAAGGGGTTATGAGTATGAAGGGGTACTAAAGGAAATCTTTTATGTTTAGGGGATTGAGTTGGGTTGATATTCGGAGTCGGGGACTGTTCAACTACTTTGTAGTATTCGAGGTGAGTTACCTTCCCTGTATAAGTGGGTCGAAGGCACCAATGTCGGCCCACTAGTAGTTGTTTATAGTATAGAAGATTGTCTTTGTGATAATTGTCTGTTATGCCATTATCTGTTAAGATTTATATGCTTGTATGCTATGTTATTATGTGGTAGGGGTAAGAGTGAAATAGATCCTGTAACCGGTTGAAATACACCGGAGGGTAGGTCGGGCACCCAGATATGCCTGAAAGAGTAAGTCGAGCACCCAGATATGCTTGACAGGGTAGGTCGGGCACCCAGTTATGCCTGACAGGGTAGGCCGGGCACCCAGATATGCCTGACAGTATGTGACTATGTGGTATGATGGGGGAACTCACTAAGCTTCATGCTTACGGTTTTCAGTTTTGGTTTCAGGTACTTCTTCTTCAAAAGGAAAGGAGCAGGTATGATCGCAACACATCACACTATGATTTTTCCGCATTATGAGATTCTTGGGGATTGTACTATGATATTATTTTCCTATGACATGTTGTGGTTTTCAACACTTGGGTTTGATTATGATATGGATGACACTATTGATGTTTTCAGACTACCGTCTTTATGAATTACTTAATTAAAAATGAAATTTTTGGTTATAAATTTTGGGATGTTACACTACAGTTCCTAAGGCATCCCTCTACTAACAGATAACTGAAGACTAGTGGGCCGACATTGGTGCCTTCGACCCACGGTACAATGAGTCAAAACTCACCTGAAATGAATAAACCCGAGAACACCGCGATACACTCCCTGCTACTTTGCTTGCTCCCGCGGATCCACAAGCATCAGAACCAATAAAATCTAAATCACCAATAAAAAACCCTCAAGTTTGACCTAAAGTCGAACTTGGTCAACCTTGGTCAAAGTCAAAATCAAGAAAAGTCAACCCTGACAGAGTACGCCCCGCGTACTCGGATCGTACGCCCTGCGTACTCGAATCGTACGCCCCACGTACTCAAGATCCAGATCGGGCTCCCCTCAGGCGTACGCCCGAAGTACTACAGTTACGCCCAGCGAACACAATGGCTTAACAATTTCGTTTTGGGGGCTTAATTCCTTAAGACACTACGTCTAACTTTCAGTCTTAACCTCAAATGGCATCCCCAACCATAAAGTTTCCAACTTTATGGTTTTACATGCCTAGATCAAGCCCAAGGACAAAACCCTAACTTGTCTTAACCACTAAAGCTCTTAATGGCTTGCATGAAGGAATCTTAGGGGTCAAGGTCATATTTTTATGGCTCAAGACATGGAAATACGTCCAAAAGGACAGCCCAAACATTCCATAACATGTCATACACAAGAAAGACCATATTTGGGACAAAAGTGTATATTTTCATCATGCAAACTAAATATAGCAACTTATTCATCAAGGTGGGAACTTTTTACCTTCTAAAGATGGATAATGATACAAAACTATCATATCCAAGCTTGCTTCTAGCTTCCAAACTTCACCAACACCTTCTTCTTCCTTTGGAACACACAAAACACACAATCAAGCTTCAAAATGCAAGAATGGGGCTAGGGTTTACAAGCGAAGACGTTTCTAAGGATGGAGGCTGAGAATGGGGTGGAGAAAGGAAACTTAAGGATCAATAAATAGGGTCCAAACCCTCAAGAGAAATCAAAGAAAGGAAAAACAAAAAATAAAAATGGAAGAAAGAAGAAAGGGAGACCTATTTTCTTTTTCTTCCAATGAGAGAGAGAGAGAGATGGAAAAACAAAAAATAAAAATGGAAGAAAGAAGAAAGGGAGACCTATTTTCTTTTTCTTCCAATGTGAGAGAGAGAGAAATGGAAAAACAAAAAATAAAAATGGAAGAAAGAAGAAAGGGAGACCTATTTTCTTTTTCTTCCAATGAGAGAGAGAGAGAGATGTCCTTTGTATATTTAATAATTATAAAATATTTAAGAAAAAGAAAGAAAAATGAAAAATAAATATACTAAGGTTATAATAGTCTTTTCAGTTTTCAAAGAGAAAAAAAAAACACAACAAAACTATCTTAAAATGACTATGAAACCAAAAAGAGAAAGTTAAAAAAAAAAAAAAAAAAACGTACAGGAGCATTTTTGCTTGTCAAATATATATATATATATATATATATATATATATATATATATAAACTGAAAACTAATTACTTTTTAGATCACTTTCCCTGAATAACTGACAATAAACCGGACTAAGCGACTTCGGCTTTTTATATTCCAAAGGATTCAAATCTGGTACCAAAAGTCCCATGAGCGCGCTCGTCGTTCTGTGCCTCTCGAAGTTCAAACCTAACAGGATCGAGCAATTTGTAGTTCTCTCTAGGTAATTCCTTTACTATCAATTGACGATCTCTATTTTCGTGGTTTCATCAACTTAGGAACGTTGATATTTGTGTATTCATTGGATCCTCGATCATCGAGATAAAACATCTAGTTTTGTAACAGAGCTAGTGATTTTGTAAGCATTCTGACATCGGATATGTTTATTTGGTGTGATTTTTATTTAAGTTCTAATAGTTCACAAATTTTTCTGTGCATTTGATATGGACAAAGTCACAAAGTCACATTCTACACACACTGCGTGTGTCAATAAGATCAATTGACATTGTTGTTGCATGAATAATTTATTCTTGATGCACTTGAATTTGATGCTATGTTTACAAAAACAATAGCTGGTGGACTCTGTAAACTAGAGGAACTTTTATAATTTTTATTCGTGCATGAAATCCAGAATTCCGGATATTTTACCTTTTCCTTCTTAGGATGAGTGACAAAGTGATGTGATCGTCCAATTTTGGATTCAGTTGGAAGCTAGGTTTATTCAATTCACAATAAAAGCTTTGGTTACACTCATCTTATCCCAATTCCGAAGACAGATGACCATTTTTTACAACTATAGAAGGATTTGGTATTATCTTACATGGGATGCAGTAAGATAATAAACTTCGGAAGCTCTAGAAACCAACACATTTTACCATCTTAGACTAGTTACTTATGTATGAATAAGCTTAACTTGATTCCCAGGCGTTCTTGTATGTGATTATGTCTTATTCTTTTATTTACCTTGCATTTGTGCTGTTTCAGTTGTGTTATTTAGGTCCTGCACATTTGGCTATGTTACAATGGATGGGAGGATCAAGGCGGAAAGTCACAACTGTAAGTATCAGCCAACACATCACTTTCCCTTATAATTTTGACATGTCTTCAGTTTGTAAACTGGTTTGCAACTCATGGTTCAGTACAGATCAATTTCAACTCTTTGATATTTTTTGTTCAACTGTTCTGGACCTCTTATAGTGCACAGAGTTTCTTAGAGCATCTTATCATGTTATTATGAGCTTCAGTTTCATCTCGATTTTTTGATTTTAAGCTTGTTTGCAAGACTTTACCCGCACTAGCATGTTTTTAGACTTTTAGGTAATGAAACATCATTAATTTATGATACGCCCACACATCTAAGGCTTCCTATCTTGTGGCATGCTTAAACAGTTTTTTTATGCAACTTATTCCTTTTGGTGGCCGGACAAAGGTATTACATCCAAGGTGACAGCTAGCCATATATTGATTTGGGAGATAGTAGAGATTTAGGCATCCAAAGATGTTAAAAAATCATAATGACTTTGTCTGTGAACATATTGTTCGTTTAATCAAGATTATGTAAAAAATGTCAAAAGTAAAACCATTAATACGAAACTATGACTATACAAATAAGGACATGTGTGTGAGTGTGTGCCTATATGTGGTATATATCAAAGCCAACAATAAGTTTATGGCAAATACAGAGCTGGATATTAGTTGCTGTTGCAATAGATTTGATCTTTTAACATACTGAATTATTTAGACTGCATCAAAATTTTGATAGTAATATAGGGTGTAATATGGTTGCATAACTTAAATTGGCATAGTATGCTTCTGATAATGAAGATTGTTCTGTTAAGCTCATGTTTCATTTCTATCGCTTACACTGAAAATCTTTTCTTGTTTCCTGAAATGTCCTGGTTGTGCTTAAATGAGGAAATCTTCAGTCAAGAAAGTCAACACAAAAGAGGTATGTTATGTCTTCCATTTGGTTCTATAACAAGCCGGATGTCCTCAAAGATATTGTGGAAAAGATTTTATCAAGTAATATATCTAGTTGGTTCCTACCCTCAACCTACCAGGCAAAAACAGTATTTTGAACAAAGAAAAAGGCAACAGCAACAGCAAAATTCCAATGGCCCTAGAGAGCTATTCTGATAAAAAGGCTCCATGCACACAATGTCCCGAAAATAATAGATCACTGGATATTCTCAGTCTGCTAAACTTATCAAAGAATGGCCAGGATTTCACTTCCAGATTCCCAGAAGGTACTATTGTTGTGGCTTTCTGCTTCTTTCTGCTCTCTTTATTGTTTGCAGTAGCCTTTTGAACTGTTATCCTGTTTCTGTGTCATTTTCCACCCAAATATGCAACTTAGTGAAAACTGAAAAGCCATGGACAATTTGATGTCTTTATCTAGATGCCTAGTGGTGCATCATAAATGTTCAAGCAAATTGGTAAGCAATCGGCATATTTTATATTAGTTTGTGAAATATGGAAAGTAAAACAAGACAACACAAAGTGAATACAAAAGGAAGAAGTGTTCAGCAGCTCTAGAACTGCAGAACACTGGCTTTGCATGTATGATATGACTTATGATGTTGGTAGTGGTTACTAATTGAAATATTTGTTCTTCAAGATAACAAAAGGCAATAGTTACAACAGTATATAACAGCAAAAATTCATGGGAAGTTCTTTTAAGTTTGGGAATAAAAGTTCTGCTTCAAGTATGTCTTATTGATAAATGAATCTTTATACTGTTTATGACCATGTAAGCACAAGGAAGAGGAAGTTCGAATGGTCAACATACAACACAAAACTCTCAAACTGCACACTGTGCGACTACAATTCAAATGGAAAATGAAAACATCTGTCCATCTGAACATGTTGAAATAAGAGAAACAAGTAATATTTCTGAACTATTATTCCCTCCTCTCACTCTTCCTTATTTGTTGACTTCTCTTTTATTCTACCTGAATCCTCGATTGTGTGAGTTGTATCAGGAACTGTGTCCAATCACCTGGAGGAGGCAGGATGTCAACAGGAGTAAGTGGATCTTGTACTTCAGTTTGTCCACCCTGATATAAAGCCATGTTAAATTATCAATAGACTAATGATACTTTCAGTAAGCTGTTTACATCAGTCTCTTTTGGGGTGAGACAAATACATGGTTTGTAGTATGTTATTATGCTTTCAAAGTGTGTATAGTTTACTGCCCATTGTACATTAAAGGTTAACTTACTGTTGTGTTGTGTGTATATCCGATGTCTTTTTTATGCTTTTCAGGTTTTTATTTGATTTCTCTTCTAGTAGTCATCATGATGCTTCAAAAAGGAACAATGAGAAAGATCCAATGAAGATGACTACAGACCACAGTAAGTAGAAAATACTGAAGACATCATTTCTCTTTTTACCAACTTTTTCTTTCTGTTTAAAGTCAATATCGTAAATGGACTTTTAACACCAAGTGGTTATTGCAGCTATTGTGTTTTAGACCCTTTACCTTATAGAAAGCTCCTATTTTCATCTAATAAGTTTTGGGTTCTGTATTTCCTTGTTCTTCTTCCAGAGTTTGTCTGTCGTTGATATGCTTGGTGATGATGGACAAAATAGCAGTTCAAGAGGAAATTTAGTACATGAGAATCATGTTGCATTCTCAGTTGAAGGTACATAATGGATTATGTGAGAGATTCACCTTTGGTTCCTTAAGTGAGCCAAATGGTTTTGTGAGCTTGCAATTGTTTAATATGTTTTCATGTTCATGTATGCATCTGAAGTAAGCTCTTTCCCAGCAGGTTTAGGAAAAGTGGAAATGGAAACTCCAGTTCATTCACCACAACATCCTACAAGGTATCAGTTGGACTCAAAATCTTACTTATTAATAAGTTTCAGTATTAAAATTGAGAAGCAACTGAGAATTAAACATACATTTCATAATTGTTTTGCTTATGGTCAAATGTGACACATCTGTTTAACCTGCCAAATTTTATAAATGGAGAATTTCAATAAATTGATACGCTACTTGGTTTCTATGAGGGTTTTTTAATTCCTCTTCTCAAATCTGTAGACAATTTTGATGGCTCATTATTCTTCAGCTGCCAGTGAAGCTCATGAGCTCTTTTGTGTTACTTTTTCCACATATTTGTCACAGAAAATTCACCTATGGATGCCCTGGACCTTCCAAAAATTTCAAGGGATCTTACTCTTCCAAGAATCTTAATTGCAGTCTAGAGGACCAATTTCCTGAATTGGTAAGAGGTTCTTTATGGTGGCTGATTCCCACCTTTTATTTAGAGTCTCCTTGTTTAGCATCTTGGACTTGACTTGTAATCTTTTTTTTTTTCTTCTTCTAATATCACATATTTTACTAATCAATACTTGTAATTCCTGTTATCAATGCAGGATGATATGGCTGTTGGTGGTGACATACCAACTGATGCCTGTTCTTTAGAGCTCCCTTCTTATTTAGGAGAACTACATTGTAACTTGAAGCAGAAAACAATGGTTGATAAGGAATGCTTGTTGCATGATGCTGAGGATTTTTTAAGCAATGATGAATTTTATGATAGCAGGCTGGAGCATGACAGGTTTAAATGGCATGGTAGATGTCTCTTCACTCTTCCTCTACTACTTTTAGCATTAGGATGTTTAAGGTAACATGTTTCAATATCTTTTTGTGTGTATTGGTAATGACCCATTCTTCAATTCCCTGTTTTTTTCAGAAAAATCTAGCTTCTTGGATGAGAAATTTTTGGAAGATAATTGTACAGTATCATGGAAGAACTGGTCGTGTGATTTGGATTATATGAGAAGTAGAAAGTGTGAAAAGTCAGACTTCTCTTTTGAAGGTGGTCATATGCAAAAAAGGAGGTCTATTTTCAACTGATACTTTTTATCTATCAAAGCTTTTCTTTATTCTAGTAAAATTCTTCACCGATGAGTCGTATTTGCAGAGCTAGAGTGGACTCAGCAGGCTGCTTCAATGTTTCAGGTAATGATATTTACTAAGGGCATGTCAAATTAACATAATATTTCATCTCTGTGGACCTACCAAAATGCTACTTATACCAGAGGTCACCTATGGAAGTAATCTCTCTACCTTCGGGTGAAGGTTTACCACCCCCTTACCCCATTCCTATTCGTCATTGTTCCATTAGGCCTTTGTTAAAAGTTGTAAAGATTATTATATCTTTTTCCCTTGCTTCATTTTTACTTCCTCTTGTTAATCAGGGTTATCTTCTCCATATAAGCACCAAATCAATCATCGTTATGATTTCATGACATCTGACATGACACGGTATACTTTTTCTTCTAACTTCATATATGATATACTTGTAAATGTTTAACAAATATCAATAATGCCAGTTACCCAACTTAACTACAGGTGTAACTCCCAGTTTAGTGAAATGACCCACTCTTCAGATTGGCCTTCCTTCGCAACACAAGATGCAAGACACGATTTACACTTGTCGAGGTTAACATCTTCAGCACTATGCTTTTCATCTCTCATCTTATATGAATAATCTTTTTTAAAAATTAAAACCATCATATTCACATTCACTTTATTATTTTGACCAACTTGTGTACAGCCAAGATTCATTCTTGTCCCATCCAGGTGACGATTTGACACAACTGCATATTATACCAGTTACCTGATTTTGCTACAACTTGTTGATAACACAGTCATGCTTTTAAATTTAGCATGGCGTGAAGGAACAAAGAATCCATCATCTAACTTCAGAAGGCATGCAAGTGATTCCAGAAGCCCTTTCAGTATGAAAAGTAATACATTTTCCAGGGGATTTGGCATGAAGAGTAATATTAACATGATGTCAGATTTTTCAACCCACCGAAGAGATGATTGGTTATTTGAAGAAAGATGCAATACTGAGAGTTATGACGGTTCTATCAAGGCATCTGAAACCCCAAACCCAAAGGCCTTTCACAAACATTGGACCGAAGAGCCGTTTGATTCAGATTTCAACTTGAAATTTTGCGTTGATGAACATGGTGGCAACTTTTTCTCAGATAAAGTTGCATTCTCCCAACAAGTTAGTCCTGTAAAAGAAGAATATGGACATGATGATCTTTTCAATGAAGAGAAAGATGACTCTAATATACAGCTTCAGAAGAGTGTTAGCACACGAGAAAGTGAGTCTGTAACTCTACCAGCTGTCACCAGCACATTTCATCAGCATAAAGAGAATAGTCATGACAGCAATTACTCATCCTCAAAAAATGGCACACCAATAAACAACCTGGAATCTGAAGAATCACAAGTCAAAACTCCAGAAATAGAAATCACCCCAGCTCCAAATGCAGTAATATCTCCAGAACCTTCAGAAGGGGGATCATCTTCTGTTGAGATGCCCCACTGTCATGGCTTAAACGAGTTAGTCATTATTCTTATGCTTCTTTTGTATATAATTTTTTTTTTCAAACAAATATAACAAACCATTGTGTCCTAAAATGGCTATATATGGCTTTCCAGATGCCCAGATGCTACACAAACTTCTCTCCAGACCCAAAATGAACGCAAAGGTATAGATCCATTTTATGCCATTGTTGTGTTAAATGTTAATTAATTATCTGGTCTTTTATTAAATACAGAAACAGGGGATTCTGGACCAAACAGTTGCAAAGTCATGATGCTTGGGAGATATGTTCTTCCACTTCTGTGAGTATCAGTATATATAGATACTGAAGAAAGCATCCAAAGTAGGTATGAATATGAATGATTACTTCTCAATTCGCATGCAACTGAGGCTAATAAAATTCATAAAATACAACATAACCTTAGCTAAGCTAGTCCAAAATGTTGCTATTACACATTGCTAGTAGCTTTTGAAATGACAGGATCAGGACAAATTTAAACTAAGTAAATCCAACACAATGTTAGCATAGATAGAAACTTTCAACCATAGATACACATTAACTACAAATATTTTTCTCCAAGAGAAGAAATAATGTCTTCTCCAACACAAGTTTAGTTACTCTTTTTAGGCCCCAATGCAAAGCCTTCCCTTTATTGATCGTCTGAACTGCATGTGACATCTTAACTTCTTAACATCAGACTGTTTGAGGGGTTTAAGGATGAACTCTTGAGCACCTTCTTCCAAACACCTAATTCAAAACAGAAATGTCAAGCACATCCATACATCATAACCAAATTTTTGATTCATAATAAAGATTGATCAATGGTTACTTCTCGATTCGAGTGGGGACATTCTCTGATGAGACTACAATCACCGGGATCTCTTTTATATCAGATGATTCCTGTTACAAAAATTAAGGTTTAATGTTACAAAAAAAAAAAAAAAAGTACTACTAGCTACTTATATAAAAATGTTACAGAATGTTAATGTTATATTACCTTAACCTTTCTAAGGAGATCGTATCCTGTCATTCCTGGCATACAGTAATCCGTAACTACTAAATTTATCTTAGGGCCCTGCTTTTAATATCCATTTACCAAAAAATAAAAATAAAAATCATTAATTTGGTAGGTGTGTTACGACAATGCATGTTATGAGAAATGTAAATTTAAGAATTGTGTCCACTAAGTAGTACTACAGTAACTTACTTTGTTCATATGAGTGTGTTTGTCTTCTCCTTGGCCTAAAAGCTCCAACGCCTTCTGCCCACTTTCTGCTGTAGTCACTGCCACATTGACAAAATGACTAGTAAATTCCTTGCAAGGCTTTCTTGATTTACAACTTTATTTTATTTTCAAATAATATGGATGATGGATAGCAGATAACTTTTTTTTTTCTTTGGTAAGTGTTCCACCTTAAAAGATGTGAAGTCGGAATATTAGGTAGGTATGCGGTGATTGTCATGGACTCATATTCTACTTTCACAAAAAAGATCGCAACATAAACTTAGGGGTGAGCATGGTGCGGTTTGGTGCGATTTTTGGACCAAACCGAACCGCAAACCGCAAGTTGCGGTTTTTTATAGGGAAAAACCGATAGTTGCGGTTTTAATTCGGTGCGGTTTTGCGGTTTTACATGCGGTTTTGCGGTTATTTCGGTGCGGTTTCGGTTTTTAACTGAAAATGAGTTGGTTTTTCAACAATTATTAAAACTTATTCAAAACAAACTCAAACTCAATAAAAAATCAAATCAACTTAAATAAAATAGGACTATATAACCAACAACTTAAAATGATCCGGTTTTAAATAAACCAACTCAGCACCCAAAAAATGAGGCACCAAAAAAGGAAGGAAGCTATGAGCACCCACAAATACTAGGCACCAAGAACTCCTTTCCTTAAGCTTTGCCACCACAATGCCATTTTATAGAGAAGACGGGCCTCTAATTTTCTTCCCCACACCGATGTGGGAGGATGAATGATCTTGAAAAATATGAAAGTTTGATCAAAATAAGAGGCTTCATATGATGTGAAGGGAATTGCATCAACAGACGAAAACCAAATATGGAAGAAAACAATGAAAGTGGAGTTATCTATCTAGAGCTGAATATATGTAATTAAAATATAATAATGAAAGATTAAATAAACGAATGGAATGAAAGAGAAAATTAAAGAATGGTTGGTGATGATGCAGTATGTATGCAACATTTAAATGTTTGAATTTTCTTTGTTACTAACCTCTCATTTAGATTATTAATCTATTGAAATATAATTTTTAATATAGATATATATATATATATATATATATATATATATTATATAGATATATATATATATATATATATATAGGAATATACATTACAGCCTCACCTAAGCTTAGGTACTAAACCTCTAAAATATGTCATTTTAACATGCTAAATATACCCGGTTTGGTTTCACTTGGTAAATATATAATCCTCCATAACATTTCTTTCTTCCATTATCGTTTTACCATCTCTGTTTCTTTCCTCAATTATCGTTTATTACTTCACTCAAGTGAACATTACTAAACCCTAAACCTAAACCCTAAACCCTAAATTTAAACCCTAAACACTAAACCTAAACCCTAAACCCTAAACCTAAACCCTAAACCCTATTGTGTCGATCTTGAATTTACATCTTGAAGTATTAATCGTGAATCCATTAACCGTAATCTTTATATAGTAAAACAATGTATTTTCAAGAGGTTTAGTACCCAAGCTTAGGTGGGGCTATAATGTATATTCCCTTTTCCCTATATATATATATATATATATATATATATATATATATATATAATATATATATATGGGTGTGTGTGGTGCGGTTCGGTTTTTTGCGGTTTTTGCAAAACTAAAAACCGCACCGCACCGAAATTTTCGGTTTTTATAAAATCAAAAACCGCACCGTCGGTTTTTGTTTCGGTTTCGGTTAACGCGGTTTTTTTGGTTATTTCGGTTTGCGGTTCGGTTTTTGCTCATCCCTACATAAACTCATCGTGTCCCCAAAAACAGTTCATTTATTTTTAAATGCTACTTATTTCTAATGGACTAAATGTAAATAGCAACATATATTTATTTATCTGTGTATAGTAATATGCTACTTTTATTTCTTATCTTGGTAAACATTGTGCTTATATTTTATATTCTTATTAATGGTGTATTTGGTAGAATATATGAAAATATAAGATTGTTAATTTTTTTTATTAGGCTTGGTTATATCCTTGTAAAACATCCTTGTAAATTTTCATAATTATGTGTATATCCTTCTAAAATCTTTAAATTATATGTATATCCTTATAAAACCTATAAAATTACATATATATATATATATATATATATATATATATATATATCCAAATACTTCATTTAATTATATATAATATATTAAAAAAATAAAAAAACTATCTTTAAATTGATTTTTTATTATTAAATTTATAGTTAACTTGTAATATTATAATTTACCATTCTTCCACATTATTATTCTCAGCCTATTTACTTTATGAATCCTTATAAAATATTGACATCTATATTGAAATTAGTTTTTTTTTTGTCATTTACCTGTAATTATAACTAAAGAACCAAAGGAATAACAAAATTGTTTAGAAGAAAATAATTGTAGGTCTCGTAAATTGATTGTAGGAGATGAACTATATTGTTTAACAATCGATTAGGAATTTACAATCAATGGATTTTGTTAATCGATAATGTAAAATATGAAATGACAAAGAATCATGTTGTGGATAACTATATTGTGAATAAAAAGATCGATTATGGGAAGAATTGAAAATGTGTATTTTAGTAATTTGGTTATAATTTAATTTAAAGATATTGTTTTTAGTTTATATATTAATTATCATCTAATTAAGTATTTTGATATATATATATATATATATATATATATATATATATATATATATATGAATTTATAGCTTTTATAAGGATATATACGTCATTTAAAATTTTACAAGGATATAGACGTAATTATGAAAATTTATAAGGATATGGATGTATTTGTTTTAAAAATATGTTATAATAAACAAATTGATAAAAAAAAATTATGACGTGTTTAATCCAGTTTAGTTTATTAAAAGAACTAATATGGTGGAGATAGAAAAACATGGTTCATGAATTTTGGGTATGTATTTTGGTTGTGGCATATAACTAAGGTTGAAAGGTGTCAATGTTTTTGTCAATGAAATTATGGTGCCGTATAGGCCCTACATAAACTTTTACCATTCTAGCTAATATTTGCCTATGAATAGGATGTGATGCCATTGTTATCTAACAATAAAAAGAAAAATGTTAAATAAATATAAGTTAAATGTGTTTATTCGTCTATTCCTTATTGGCTATCAAGTATTATCGATGAAAAACTCATCTGCTGCCATATACATTGTTCAAAATTACTGTTGGCAACAAAAACTCTAAAAGAACAGCAATTACTGCCCGCAATACATGCCATGTCATGTTCCCGGCGGCAAATCAATTGCCACACCGTGCAGTCTAACTATAAGTATACAGGTGTGGCTATACCTTTTGAAAATAATGAGAAAAATGTGTATATAATAGATATTGTTTTTTCTTTTTTGGAAACGAGTAAATAAATATATATAAAAATGTGTTATAATAGATGCGATAGGCATCGAGCCTTTGACCCACAAACAGAGTCCGGATATGATTGATGAGGGCATGAGGCTAAGCTTAGCTTTTGGATACCTTTAGGCTAGGAGGTCAGAGTTCAAGAATCTTCTCTTGTATTTTTTTAAAAGACATAGCAAATTGAATCTTGCTGTTACAACCTATTAACTTATAACATAATAAAATAAATACAACTGTAAAAATTAACCTCAACTACATAGCGTATTATTTAAATTCTAACCAATGACATGTTAGACTCATGAAAAATAAAATAAAAAAATACATGCTATATTCTTCCTAAACAAAGGTGTAAAACATTATTTGAAAGCGGCCATTGTCCTATTAATGAAAGGTACATAGGAAGAAATTTGGTGGTTGATGCCAGATGGTACTATATATGGTAAAGCCAGGTCTTTCCTTCCACTTTTGTCACTTTTCGTATATTACAAATCTACCCAATTCTTTTCATACTAACTGTGTGGCTCTACAATCAAAACAGTTCCTTTTTAAATAATTAATGTGCATTTTAAATATTTTATGCTTAAATAATGAGCTTTATTTACAGAGAATTTGAAGTTATCATCCCCCAAGGAGGGTGGGGGCTACTTTTTAGCTTCAGAATGGATAAGATTTGTGTATGTTTCCTAGTT